GTGACGCTTTATCAAACGGTGGTTTCCATTGCAGATAACTGGAATTTCTAGTTGTAAATACCAACACGAATTTGTGGGTTTACGTGGCCTTCCGCAACACCGACGTCCTTAATACCGCGGCGAGCAATTATCAGGAAGGCGAGGAGACGATAGAGAATCGGAATTCCATGGAGTGAGAGAGATATCGGTGGCTGGCTCGCGTAATAAACGTCCAATTAGATTTACTCATTCATAAAAGCGGAGATTCTAGTCTGAGCACGCCGCGAGTGCGCGCCCGCGGAGAATCGCCTTTTGTTCGCCGAGAGAAACAATGAGGCGAGCGTAATAGGGATGAAAAGCCGTCTGGAGAAACGCGGCAGGATCTTGGACGGCTGGATTACGATAATGCGTCTCGTCGATTTGGAGAGAGAAAGAAAAAAAAAAAGAAAAGAGTTAATTTTCCGATGGACGAAACTGATTCGAATCGAGACGGGGGTGGAAGAAGGGAGAAACAATCGACTTCGATGGACCGATCGACGTTGAGTTCGACGGTTTTCCTAATTACTTCGCGGAGGAGGATCGAGACAGAGGCATTAAATAACGACGCTCGGCGAAAAATCTGGGAATAACGTTGAACAGTATTCATGGAACGAACCGACACGCGGCTGCTGCTACGGGAACAATAATAATCCGTCTCCGAGGGGGGCAGAGAGCTAAAGGGAGAGGAAAAAGCGACGCGAGGGCCTCGAGAACAGAGAATCACGACGCAAACGCCCCTCATCGTCCACAATGCATCCGGATTGAGAAACGTTAAGGAGTGTCGCCGAGAGTACAGACGACTGTTATTGCTCGCCTCGACCTACCTACATTCGAGACGCTTCCCCCCGCCGTTTTCCACGGCCGACGAGAGAAGAAAAAAGAATACGGACCTCAGACATTCCCATTTGCGATTTCGAAATTGGAGGCGACCAGGCTCGATTCCCGTCTTGGCGAGAAAAATTCCTCGAGAAGCGTACTGTGATGGATATTTTAAATCATCCTAGCTCTACCCTGTTCTCTTGTACATTACAGGGTAAATATTCGAGATGTACCGAACAGAGTTTTGGCCGACTAGTTATGTTTGTCATAAATCAGTTCGTTCGTATGATAAATACAGATTCAGTTACCTTTACTATAGAAAAAGATGTGGAATTTATGATTGTTCAATATTACGAACCCAAAGAGAAAATTCTTCAACATTATTTGTTATACTTATTTTTTTACGTCTTGATTCTTCGTTTTAAAGAGTTTTTTGTTATGATAAAATTAAGATCGGTCTTTTTTACCGACGACAAATAGATAGTCTTAATCGACTGGTCAGCCCACTAGTCGATCCATCTCTAGTAAATATTAATTGTCAAATAGGCTTTGCTCCATATACTTGAGTACCATTACGATATTAACAAGAGGATAACGGACCCTCTGCATTAACTCCCTCGATCTAATTAAAAACCTCTTACGGGGCAAACATTTACCAACCGAAGTTTTAACGTTAATTCATAACGTACCTTGCGTTGGCATTTATTAATTCGTGGAAATCGATCGGCGAACTATCGCGTGCCAGCGGACACCAACTAAAAAGCGTGACCACGAACGGAGGAGGATCTGCGGGCCCCGGTAGCCGGAGAACACGCCGAAGGAGTGTCTCGATGGGCCTGATAACTGTTGTTGACCAAGCTGATCGACTTAATAACAGTTCCCGGGAGGCACGAGCAGAGCCTAGTATAGGGAAGCTGCGAGAGTAAAGTCGGAGCGCTTACATCCGTTAAGGTGCGTATCCATTTGTTTCTTCAAAAGATAATCGGCCAGTTCCTCTCCCGTATCTAGCAATCTAGGTTTTGTTATGGGTGCAATTCTTCCCAAGAGAAGTAGTCACTGTACATTTCTCTCTTTTTATACGTTTGTAACTTCCTTTTTTTGTCCTCAACACGTCATCTATAAAAATGATACGCAACAGTGATACGATACGAGGATACGTAACAAATGGCTACGCACCTTTACACGATGACATCAAGCGAATAGCTATCTGCGTAGGCATAGCATAACTTTGTCGATAATTTTTTCTGCCGCGAACAATTATCACGGATGCGTTGTTAGCCAGTTGCATGATCGACGAAGGGAAAAAAAGAGAAAGATAGAGAAAGTATAGATCCTTGGGCGCGGGCGAACCAAGCAGAAAGAGGACGACGGGAAATGAGATCTCGTGGGCGAGCGTGAGGAAATCTCCGGAAGAGCTTTTGTTCGGAACTCTCTCTCTCTCTCTTTCTCTTGGCGTGGCTCTTTCCGTGGTATCGATGCTGAATAGGTATCGAGAGAATGAGATTGCGGAGGACGGAGGGATCCTTTTGTGCGCGGAGCTTGTGATTAATGGCGGCACAATGGCCGCGTGCCGTGGGATATATAATCGTACGCAACACACGGGAGGATCGGATTCAATGCCGTTATTGCCGTCGCGATTCCTGCGGAAATCAATAGCGAAGACGTGGCGAAGCGCGTGACGCAACGCTCGTAATCTTGCCAAGATTGTACCTTTCCTGAACGAGCAATCTGGGAATTATTTCAGTCGATCCGTCCTACTCGTTGGAAATTCGATGACGGTTAGAACTGACGAATAGAAGCCTGATAAAAGAATAATTTCAACGAGTAGACGTCCAAATTACTGCTACCTTAAGATTGTAGCATAACTGTTGTTAAACCAAAAATCGTCTCAGTTTGGCAAATTATTAACCCCTTGGGTACGGATTTATTTGAGAAAATATTTGCATGTGGAACGGAAATAATTTTTGGTTGCTTGGAGTAGTATGTAAAGGCAGTACATTTTACGTAAGAATGTATTTATTTCTAAAATATTGGTGACATATGTAGTATTAAGATGTCTTCAACTAATTAGAATTGCAAAACAAAAATAAATTAATAACAACAAAATAAAACTAAATGAAATAAATTCAATTTATAAAAAAAAACAATTACTAATAATTATGCAGAGTGTGATATTTTTATTGATGAATGAAATTGATCAATAAAAAAAAAAAAATGACGTATCTCAGATGTCAAATGTACCTAAAAGTTTAATTTTTGGTTTGACGTCTTAGACACGTCATCCGCTCTTAGGGGAAAAAAGTGAATGACGTGTCTCAGACGTCAAATGTACCCAAGGGGTTAACATCCCTTCTATCAGTCCTGATGATATATTCATGTTCAGCAACAAACAGACAATACTCATCGATCGGAATGAGATACCAACGATGTGAAATACGTGCTGCTCGCGACAGCACATCGGGCAATCGAAACGATCGTTATCCCCGTGTGCCCAAGGGGGGGGGGATAGGGGAGCGTTAATTGCGAGACAAGGGTAGCAACAAGCCCCTGACGATTCTCTCTCGCGGGAGCCACGGGGAACGAGGAAACGGATTGCAGCGGGTGCACACGGGGGCTCCCTTCGTTTCCGGACTCGGGAAGCGGAAAATTAAGATGATTACCTATGAAATGAAGCGACGCCCGATATTAAGCCTCCGCTGAGAACTTTCCTTAATGACCGCGCGAAACGGTCATTAGCGATCGTTAGTTACCCATCCGGCTGTCCGATCCGGCTATATACGTGCCCATTAATCGAAATCTTTACAATGGAACATCTAGACCTGTTCTTTTTTCGCCTAGGACCAGACATCGATGATCGTCGGCGGAACCAGAAGGGAGGGATGAAGGAAACTTCTTCAGCCACCAAAACATTGAATATAGCGTTGGCTATTTATTTCATATGTTTCGATTGAAATGCAGCGATTATATTCAAATTTCGATATTTATGGGTTAACCTATCGATACTGGAATATACTGTCACATTAAATATCGATACTGTATCGCTAATCACTAATTAGATATCAACGGTATCGAGGTAGTAGAAAGGTTCGTGTACTAACGCAGCTGCGCGCGCGGTTTGCATAGGTTCTCCGTTCTCCGGAGGAACTTGGTGAACCATGACAAGCTGCATTCTGCATGATCTCTCGACACGCTTTCGACGCCGACCGCGACAAGACGCGTTTCAAGCTTGTCTTGTTGCATTGTTCGGCAGCCGGTGCTATTTGCGAGCTCATAAAACGGACACATTCGTGTGCAGGTTCACCGTCGAACGCACGATTGCATTCCTTCTGGGCCAACGAGGCGCGTGCACCAAAAGGTCCAATTGAAGGTAGAATTAAAGACGGAACGTCCGTGTTGGAACATTGGGAACGCGATTTGGATTTTTCTAGTGCATATTCGAGCGGACACGATGAACCGCACGCAGGAAGCGGAAGCGAGTACGCGACACACTGTCGAGCCGGAAGCGATGGTTAACCGACCGTTAAGCCCTTCCTATTCTTCGCGTATGAAAAATGACGGGGGCGTATTGCCCGAAGCGTTCCTAATAGTGGACCAAAACGGGATGACTATAGCGTCGTTACACGTGCGAAAATATTGTGGGAATCCATCCGGTCGGAACGGCGACAGAAAGGTGTGGCCCCCGACGTGGACACATTTTCGCCGACCGCAGCATGCAATTCTTCCTGCGGCTTTTTCACGCTCGACACGCGTGAACCGAACAACACCACGGTGATTTGTTTCTACTCGTGAATGCACATCGATTAAAAGCCTGTGTACGTGGGGCCTGTGGTTTTTATTTCGGCCAGGAAACACTCGATGCTAACATAATACGCTTTATTGATAATTCAGAGGAGAGGGGTCAACTTTTTTATTTCGGCCAGGAAACACTCGATGCTAACATAATACGCTTTATTGATAATTCAGAGGAGGTCAATGAAAATTGTATTTAAACATTTCTCTCCAATACCAGCGTATTGTCAGTGATGCGTACAGGAAATTAGGATTTGTTCAAAGTATTATGTCTTTTCTGTCAGTCGTAATTTTTACGAATAGTAATAACGCATGTTTAATGATCTAGGGTTAATAAGGATTATATATTAGGTAAACAAAAATGAAACGTTTACCTTGAGATAGGACCCATAATACTTGGTAACGTATGGGCTGTCGCACTGGGACAGCACCATGATCTCTTGCTGTATGTCCTCGATCTCATCCTCCGCCTCCTCGAGATCGATGATCTTGATGGCAACCACCTGCTGGGTCCTATTGTCGATCCCTTTAAACACCTCGCCGAAACTACCCTTTCCGATTCGTTCTTGTTTCGTGAATATCAGCTCGGGATCCACCTTCTGCAACAAAGAAAATATCGTCTCGGTTAGTTCGGCTGGTCTGTGTCTCGCCACGGTCACGGAAACGACTGTTTTCACCGAGCTTTTCCAAGGGTTTTTGGCAAATCTCGCCGAGCATTGGTACAGTGAAAGTTTCCGGCGTACTTTACGGAGGCCCCGAGGTTCGCGACTGCAGATAGTTTTAACTAATTTCGAGGACGAGTCCCGTTACTACGGGCTTTTTGGCAAACTTCGCGAAGACCTGGGACGTCGGGCAAGCTTTCAGCGAACTAGAAGACACATTTTCGCGATGACTACCTAGGGTAGGATTCTTCTCTTGGTTGTACGAGAAATACGCTTGCAATTTGTATTTCCTGGTTACATGTTCTCCGTTGGGGGACGCGACGAAGCGTGTAACGAGAATGGGTCGCTGTTTGTTGGCTGCTGGCTTTACCTCCCCGAAAGAGGAAAATAGCGCCATGGTACGGTTCTAATGAAACACTACAAGAATATAACTGAACTACATGCAATACTTAAATCATCAAAATCATCTAGTCAATGATCTTTCATCCCAGCACGTCGAAAGAACAAAACCTGGGAAATTCCTAGCTTTGCTATTGTCTTCACAGATTACTTTAGAGAATCTTATTTTGTATAAAAATCCACAGTCTACTCATTACTATTAGTATCAGTTACTGTGGAGTAGATTTTAAATATGGATAGAAGTAAAAAAAAGGTTCTTTTTATTCGAGCCCGCTTCGGGATAAATTTAAGCGACGCGTCATCCTCGAAAGGATCCAAGATCCTCGGAGGCAGATCCACGAGGCAATACTTTCTTCGACTGCCTCTGTCCTTCGGGAGCTAATGAATGCAGTTATGCGCCGGTCTGGGCCCCAGAAATGCGGTTCTCCTTGGCTCCTTTCTAATTGATGACACGTGATGTCATAACGGGCAGCGGATGCAAGCGTACAATCGATCGATTGCCTGCACGCGGTTCTCTTGATTAGGCTCGATGCAACCAACCAGCCAGCAGCAGCCTGCTGTGTTGCAAAATTGCATAACCGTCTGCACATCGAAACGAAACGTGTGTTCGTTCTCACGTTTTATCGTTCTGCCGCCGACCGAACATCCGCTGCTCCAGAATTGCACAGTGACGGTACCGAAAGTTGCTATTTCTGCGTAAGATTGTGCTTCCACAGACACCTTTGAAGGGCATTAAACCGGCGAAGTTTGAACGTTGAAGGGAATTCCTAACTCCTTAGGAGCTGTGCAAACACAGATAAAACTTTCGGAAAATTTTCACGCGGATGGAGATTCATTTCGTCTCGGCTGTCACGAAATTACATACTGCATTCACGTGCTTTGGCTATGTTTTTCACTCGTGAAACAAATAGAGGATACACTTCGGTGATAAAATAATTAACGAGCAGCCGCGCGATATAGAAAGAAAATCATGGGTCGTCGAACGGAGAGGAGAAACGCTAAAAGCACGGGGAATAAAATCGATACCCTGTAAATTCATCGAGGCGTTGAGACGCTCTCGAACATTTTCCCTACCTCTTGCCTCCATCCCTTTATCTGCAATCTGCCTAGGCCTCTGATACAAGACTTTTATCCACGTTGCTTTCCACACAGGGCTCGCAAACACCGCGGAGAGGATCCGTGAAAAGAAAAAAATCAGAGAGAAAAATCGCGGCCCGCCCCCTGCGCGTCTGTTCATCGCCCGTTTTCATCTCCAGACGGGAGATCCTTTAGTCTTTCTGTTTTCCAGGGGATTCCTCGACGAATTGAATCCTAGACGGAGCCATTATCATGCTAGAATTCAGACGTGATTTCAGCGAGTCTTTCCCCGCTGGGAATCACTAGACTCTGGTGGAAAAAAACGAATGATCGATTCACCGAGTATTTCTCATTTCCAGCACGGTAATCTAATAAACCCTGAGTGATTCTGGTCGGAGGAAACCTAGGAGATCGTTGGCTCAATCTCCTTGGGTTCTTAATCTTCCGATTTCTGCGAAGGAGTGAACGTCGACGGAATCAATTGGCCCCAAAAACAGCGATGAAAAAAAGAACAGTGGAAGCCACGGAAATGGTAAGAAGACAAAGTTTCCGTGGAGGGGATGGGGCAAGAGTAAAAAAAGAATTGAACGGTTCCGAGCAAGTTCGAGCTGACCTCGATTTCCTTCGTCTTTTTCGAGCGTAAACCACTGTCGTCACGGCGATTAGAGGCCGGCCGTTATTCGTGTTTCCGGGCGCCAAGAAGGGAAGATGAAAAACTCGAGGAAGAGAACCAGAGGGAATTAGAGAGAAAAACACAAGGTAGGAAGACAGAGAAAGACAGAGAGAGGGAGCGATCATAGTCTGTGTCGTGTGATGTTGCTGCAAACGAAGTCGAGAGGCGGCGGGGGCACACATCTTAGCCCCTTTTTTTTCCTCCCCCGCATCCGTTCGCCGAGCCGTACTGCATGAAACTCGCACTGGCACGAATTATAATTAGCGGGTGTCAGCGGCACAGAGAGAGGCCGGGGGCACGTGGGTGGTTAAAGTGCCGACAAGGGAGGCTGAAGAGCTCCCACCCGGCTTCGTTCTTCCTGATTTTCATCCGGGATCTTAGGCAGATCCCGTCGCCCGATAGACGTCGTAATCAAAGGATAAGTAGAGAGTTGAAAAAAAAAATCGTAAAAAGATCGTGAAAAAATATGTTTCAAAAAATTCTGACCAACTTCGAAATTCGCTGAAAAGTAAACAAAAGGATTCATCTCGATTGGTCCATTCGCGACAGAGTAATCGCTGGACCTACATAAAAAAAACATACACATCGAAATGTATACCTTCTCCTTTTTGAAGTCCGTCAAAAAGGATCCTTCACGATTCTTCATCCCTACGATTTTTACTCTTGTAATACATAGGACTTAATGGACGGTGGATAAGAAATAACAAAAACGTGTAATTAAAACTTCCAGCCTGTCTATCCTGTACCAGCTCACGTTGAACTTTCCAACAACTGCTTTTTGCTATCGTGGCAAGTATTAACGAAGTTCTGCCAACAACCTTTTAGCTTTATTCTTCTGGTTTTTATCAGGTTCCAGGCGCCAAGAAAAGTTCGGGCAACAAGAACGATATTAGAAGCACCGTTTAGGCCTGCGGAGAAGGTGGCGGCCACCCCCTTTGACGCTGTGTGCTATATACCGGTCTAGCTCTACTTCTACCCTCTTCACGTCGAGGAATTATTCACGGTGGGGTTCAACGGACCACACGATCCGCTCTCCGTTTTCACCCGTGAAAATATGCAAGTATTCACCGTCTAATTGTGGTCTACGTCGGTTCCCTTGCTTGAAAAGCGAAAGGAGTATCATGCACACGATTTGAATTATCTCGAGTTGATAAAGTTTTCGACGAGAGACCAGTGAATTATACCCCGGGCGCGTGGTCAGACAATTAACGGGGAAGTTTGTGTGTCGTCTGTTGTTTCCCAACCCACCAGCAGAATGGGTGATTCTGTTACTCGGCAGGAGTAATGCTGATGGACAAGTTGCCCACTCGGAAACTGAATTATTCCGTCGGTCTCGTAGTTAAAAGGCTCGTGCGCGCGCGTGTTACGCTCCGGCTGCCGACCCAGTTATGCCCGTTCGATGTTATATAATTGACAGAGCGATACCGGGATCGAGTAATTAATGCCTCCAGCTCGCGCGTCGGTCCCCATTGTGTAAAATCACTATCGGGCAGCACGTTGTGACCTATAAAACCGTCGGCAAACATTCGTTCGCGCTGTCGACGCTGTCGCTGACGGCGTTGTTTCGAGAGGATAAAAATATTCCAGACGTTTTTACGTCGCCTTTAATCACCCTCGGATAAATAATGGGGGGTACAGAAAATTTTTTAACGGTAGTCGAATTAATACTTCTACGGGACATGTAATAATTTTAAAGGGTTAATTTCTACGGAGAATGTAATAATTTCAACGGGACACCACGACTGAATGGAACACAATGCCTGGTTTCGATTGGATGGAGGACAGCTTTGAAAGCCCGGTTGAACGTTGGTTAAGGGGTTAGCCAACTCTGACTTTCCAGTTTACTTCGTTGTATTCCCGGAAAAAGTTAAGTGGGCGAACTCTAGGCTCTTTACTTTTTCGATGTTTATGTCGAGTATACTCGGCATGAAAAGATGACATTTTCATGTTTAATGACGAGTATACTCATTTTAGTATATTTTAGAACAAGATAAAGAAAACATACAAACAAAAAATGTACAGTAGAATCATTACAAGAGCTCTTCGATAAGGCAGTGACTTTTTTTGACAATAGACGATGCTCAAGTTGTAAAAGTAATTTTGTCATTTTATTAAATTTTAATTTCACGGCAAATGCATTTAATCCACTTTTCTCGAGTATACTCGTCGCAGCTAAAACATAATTAAGCACACAAGTGCACGTTTTCAAAATGAAATAAAACATTTAAAGGGTTAATTAGAAATACGAACATTCGGCAAGACGGTACCTCGTGGACGACATGCTCGAACGGGAGCGCGTATATCCGCGAGCCAAGCTCGTTGCCAACTTCCTTACGCTGCTTCAGACTTTCGCAACGTGACAGGTCTATTTTAACGATCCCGAGAGAAGACATCGCTTCGTGTCGTGCTCGCGAGGTATTCGTCTTCGAGAAACGAAATCCATGCTGAATCCTCTCCGTCGATTCGGTCGAGTCGATTTTTCGATGTACGGATATATTCAAATGAATTCACAGCAGTGTGGGTTGACGTTATTTAATTAAAGCAGGATTCTCAACGGGAAGAATCTTAACTGGAATTAATTAGAGTTCCAGACGCAGAATTTTATCACGCCCGGAGAGACCCAGAAGTTATTTACGAGCGGAACACGACTCCCAAGGTGTCTACAGGCGAAACAACGTTTATCTCGTCGAGATAATTATTTACTACCGACTGCTACGTAGTTGTTTCTAGCGTTTTCATACGCCACCACGGTATACATGTTACAATAAAAGCGTTAATTCATATAACC